CAGATAAAGGCCCTAAGGAGTGTTTAGAATTACAAAAGTTCTGTTAGCACTACTGACACTAAAAGGTTTCTGGTTAAAGATTTTCCTGGAGGCTGCTAGAACTCTGGCTTCAGATTGACTCACAGTGATGCCATTAATAAGGAGAAAATTGAAAGAATATTATGAGACTATGGAGAACTGGAGTTGTTTTGGACATTTAGTGATCAGTTTACTTGTCTCATTAAACAAAGTTCTAAGGTGTATTAGAGTTTATTAGAGTTTAAATTCTAAAGCACTTGAGTTTGTGGAAGGCTGTAGTAGGAGCCCTAACTCTTACATTTTTGAGGTTTGACATAAGTTTCACATGCCATTTAGGTTCTTTCTGACCCTTAAACGAACACTGTGCCTATACATCGGCAAGTTCTAAGACAAACCCAGGGCTTGTTTCATTTGTCATGCCAAGGACCTCATGAGAAACCCTTGCAGTGGGACTACTGTTTCGTGGAGGAAAGCCCTCACCTTTGGTCTGCCATACCCTAGAGGGTGGAGTAGAGCTCCCCCTACAGGAGGGTTCTGGGGGATAGCTACACCCTAAAGTTGAGTCCTTGGTTGTTTGCCTTCAGGAATAATGTGGTTAAAAGTAGATTATGCTCACACAAAGAACTAGGGAACTTGCCTGAGGTATCCTTTTCTAATTTAAATTAAGGTTGGGATCTTGTTGTTTGGTAGCCACCTTGTTGGAGTCCTGGTGGTGTAGTGCCTAAGGCATTTGACTGCTAACCAGAAGGTTGGGTTCAAACCCACCAGCCACTCCTGGGAAGCAAGATTGGGCAATCTACTTCTGTAGAGACAGCACCTCGGAAACCCAAGGAGAGGTTGCTATGAGTCCAATCTACTGGAAGGCAGTGAGTTTGGGTTTTTTTTTTCCTTTTTTGAAGCACCTTGTAGCTAAGATTCAGGCTGCCTGGTCATGAGTCACAGCCTGTCTGTACCACCACCTAGCCAGGTAGTCAGAGTTCAGAACCAATCCTGGAACCCTTTTCTATCTTCAGTTCCCAATCTTGTTCTTTTCCCTGCTTCTATAGTCCCACCTACAATGGGATAAGTTGATCTGCCACCAATCATGATTTTGTATTGATTCTTTTTTTTTCTATCATATGTAATTAGCTCCATGGCCATGACTCTGGGAATGCCATTCAGCTTTCTGCGCCACATACATGCTGATGGTTTCTCTCATCCTGGATGATAGTCTTTGTCCTGTCTAAAGCTTAATAAAAGTGGCTCTGTTGAACCTGTTTGAATCTGAGGTCTCTTTTCCCCTATTAAAAGACCATGATGAAACAGATTTATATATTTCCTCTCTTTCTTCCCCTTTGCTCCTCCCCTTGGAATTATCAGGAGCCCAGAATGTTGCTTTAAATAGGAAATTAAAATCCTTTTTTTAAAAAAAAATCTACAAAAGACCCACCAGAAGCCTCCTGCTCACTCAAGCTATATTGGAATCTAACAAGACCTTTATCAAAATGAGATAAGGAGATGTTAAATTCACATTCACCTACTTATTTATTTATTTTTAATTTTTATTGTGATTTGGGTGAAAATTTACAGAGCAAATTCATTTTCCATACAGCAGTTCGTACACATTTTGTTTCATGACACTGACTGCAATTCCTCACAATGTAATAGCTCTTTCCACTTCCTCCCTGTAATTACCTCTTGCCTGTATCTTTCCCTCTGCTGCACTCCAGCCCACCCTCCCCTGCAGCTGTCTTCCTGTGTGAACACTGCCATTCTGTTCTGTGCTCTAAGTAGTGTATCTACCTGATGTAAATATTCACCCCATATGCCTGTCTACTGTTTGGCTGGAAGCCACAGGAGTGAGTTCAGTTCCAGACCTGAAAGGTAACTAGGGGCCATAGTCTCAGGGGTCTCACCAGGCTCTATCAAACTTATACCAGCAAACCTGGTCTTTTTTTTTTTTTTTTTTAATGATTTTGAGTTTTGTTCTACATTGTGCTCCCACTCTATCCAGGATCTCCTGCACAGATACCCCTTTGAGTGGTTGACAGTAGTAGCCAGGCACCATCTAGTTCTTCTGGTTGCATAGCTATATAAGCTGAGGAACATGTGGTCTACTAGTCCCTTGGCCTAATTGTTTCTATGCTTGTTTGTTTTTCTTCATTCTTCTTTGCTCTGGATGAGGAGAGACCCATTGTTGCTTCTAGATGGCTGCTTGCAAGCTTTTAACACATTCACCTATTTCAAAATTTACCTGATCCCTGACCTTTATAGCACCACCTCCACACTTCCTCTGCTCATCTAGAATCTTCTCTACTTCTCACTAATATTTGAGTCACTAATCAAGGAGAAAGGTGCCCTGGTGGTGCAATTGTGAAGTGCTGGCTACTGACCTAAAGGTTGGTGGTTCGAATCCACTCAGTGGCTCTGTGGGAGAACTGATGATCTGCCTCTGTAAAGATTACAGCCAAGAAAACCCTATGGGGCAGTTCTGCTCTGTCCCACGGGATCTCAATGAGTTGGAATCAACTGGCTGGTACCCAACAACAACAATCAAGGAGAAGATAGTTACTGTGGGGTGGAGAAGATAGCCACTCTCATGATCAGCTCTGACCCTAGGGAGATAGACTTGAGGGCAGAAAGCACATCTAATTTATTTTTGTATTCCCAGAACCTATGAATTTGTAGTTAAGTGGGAACAGATGCATATGGTTCTTATTTAGCTTTACTTTAGTGAAAGAGGAGCTCTGGTAGTATAGGGCCCAAGGCATTTGACTGCTAACCAGAAGGCTGATGGTTCAAAGCCACCAGCCACTCCTCGGAAGGAAGATCGGGCAATCTACTTCTGTAGAGATACCGCCTTGAAAACCCAAGGAGGGGTTACTATGTGTCGGAATTGACTTGACGGCAGTGGGTTTGGTTTTTTTGGTTTAGAGCCTATCACAGTGTCTTATTTAATAAAATTAAGCCATAAATTCTAGAAAATATAACTGGGCAGAGTGCCCATGTGGCTCCTGTATTTCCACTTAATTAACTATCTATTGTGTGTTGTGACCTGGCAAGAGTTTCCTTTGGTTTCTTGATATGGATTTCTCCAAATATTCAGTTGTTGTTGTTATGTGCCGTCCAGTCAGACCCGACTCATAGCGACCCCTCCTTGGGTTTCCCAGGCAGTATCACTACGGAAGTAGTTTGCCCAACCTTCCTTCTGAGGAGTGGCTGGTGGGTTTGAACCACCAGCCTTCTGGTTAGCAGTCAAGTGCCTTAGGCACTATGCTACCAGAGCTCCTAAATATTCAGTAACTATATATAAATCAGTTTCACAAATCTTACACTCTAGTGCAATAGCTGGAAGCAAAGGTAGTTATACGTGGATCGGGACTTCCAGATAGACACTGTAGTGCAGTGAATTGCTTAATAAGGCCCTTCTAGCCATAGTCCTCCATTTTGTAATGTATTATAAATTCTGATCTCTGGTTTTTGGTTTATGCCTGTTTAGGGTGGGATGTATCTTGAGTCTTACCTTGCTAGAGGATGTGACTCAAGTCACACCCTTAGTTTCCTTGAGGGTATACATGTGAATATTCTTGGAAAATTTGCTCTTTTTGATCTGGTCCTGCATTCATTTGGTCACCATCTTACCCCTTGACTTGACTCAATACTCTTGAAATTTAAGCTTACGTGCAGACCACCACATAATTCTGGCCACTGCCATCAGAGAACTGATCAGTTGGCAAGCCAGCTGCTTGGGCGAGATAAAGTGGCTGCAAATTAAAGGACTCTAAATTTCAAGAGTATTGAGTCAGGGGCCTGTTTGACCTGACTAGCCTGATTCCCTGCCTGTCTCATTATGAGTGGAGAGAATCCTCCAGATCTACCCATGGACTTGGGACTTGCCAGCCTCCCAGTCTCCACCACTACATGAGCCATTTCCTTGGCAGTTTGAGGTCTGTGAGACATTACAGTGAAATATGGAACCCTAAGACAGGAGGGAGAATATTGAGGCGAGGAGGAGGAGTTGATGTTAGAGATGATAGAGTGGCACAGCAGTTTGGAAAAGTTGGACATTTGAGTTATCTTTACCCTCCATCTCATGGGACCAGCCTTGTGCTGATCCTTCTAGAAGAAATAGTTCAAGCAGATACTTATACTCTCAGCAAGAATATTAGAACTCTCAGGCAACTCACAGAAAATGTCCATTCACCCTGGCCATGTTTTCAGACTTAATAGAAAAATGATCCCTATCTTTTTCTGCTATGTCCTTATACTTGTTGTTTTTTTAAAGTTCTCTCCTTATGGGCCCTTGAGTGTATGTATGTATGTATGTATGTATGTATAAACAAAGAAACAAAGAAACAAACAAACAAACAAATAAGCAAGCAAGTAAGCAAGCAAGCTAGCTTCATTTAAAAATATTTTACTTGAAAGATATACCCAAAAATGTAGTTCCTAATTTATGCTGTCATGTGACATTTGCCAAATTCAGTGCTTTATTAGAACAAAAAGCAGTTCTGTTCTGACTAGATTGTTAATTCAGATATAGTCTAATTTTTTCTTTTAGTTTTTCTTATTATTGCCTTTTATTATTAGTATCTTTATAAATCTGATCTTTGAACATCTGTGAGTGAACATGTAGGAATGTTAGCAAATTACCTGTTGCAATATTGTATGCACTACATACTCCTAATGCAATTGTATGTAGTACATATTAGTAATGTAGTCCATGCTAATGTGTAGTCCGTACTACTTACATAGTACACGAGACGTACAAACAAAACCCAGACAGCTGCAAGTGCAATTCGTAGTAACTTTATTATGTTCTAATTTTTATATTACAGAACTTAAATCCTGCAACTCAGTGGTTTCTCTAAATACCAGTATTCTAGAGACTAAAGAGGAGCTCTGGTAGCATAGTGCCTAAGGCACATGACTGCTAACCAGAAGGCTGGCGATTCAAACCCACCAGCCACTCCTCGCAAGGAAGGTTGGGCAATCTATTTCTGTAGTGATACTGCCTTGGAAACCCAAGGAGGGGTCACCATGAGTCAGATCCAACTCCATGACAGTGAGCTTTTGTTTAGATACTATTACACATTGTATTGAGGAATACCTGAACTAATAGTTAAGGCTGTTAAAAGTTGGAGGGGGTTTGATGTAAAAAAAAAAAAAAAATTGTATCTAAACAACTTTAAATCGTTGTAGGTTTTTTTTTTGTTTGTTTGTTTTTAGGTGAACATATATATTTGTTTTCAGTTAAAAATATCTTAAGTCTGTATATACAAGTTTCTATAATTCCTTCTTTAATCTTTAGTTAATTGACTGACTAATGGCTTCTGATAACGTTACTAAGATGGTTTCTTTGTCCCTCTGCCATGTAACTTTTAAAATAAAAAAAACAAAACTAAAAACCCCTGGAGGGTAGAAACCATTTTTTCCCCAACTTTATATCTTTCCTCCCCACCATTTAGCAAATGGTATTATACTAAGTAGGTACTCCATACATATTTACTGATGTAATTTAAATCTGGGCTCTTAAAATATTATGATACAAGACCAAAAAATGACTTTTTACTTTTTCCAGGCAAACATGTAAATAGTACTTTTATTTACAAATGACAAAATTAATGTTGAGAAATAGAGAAGTACTCTACTCAACAATAGAGTTGAACAGTTTAACTATGAGAAATAAGAATTTGATGCTTCAGTGGAAACTATATAGAACTAGAGTTTGAAAATATGCTACTGTCACAATTTAATATCCAATTGTAAGTTATTTTATACTCTTCTCTGGGTAGAAGGGAAACCAGAAGTTATTAATTATTGATAGTCATAATAGTTAATGTCACCAATCACTCGAATTCTCCCTATATTCTCAAAATAGAAGATGTTTTGCATGTAGTGAATGCTTTATTTTCTGGAAACTTGTTTTGGCTGTGACAGCCCTGATGAATTTTATCACACAAAGAATATTATATGAAAAGATCAAAGATCATACCACTGTTGCATAAAACAACTTTTCTAGCACATATCACTTATCAGTATCAAGAAAAGTGTTTTGAATATTGTTTAATTGTAATTTTTTTTTTCCCCTTTATAAGGAATTAAAGATCTCATTTTGCTGTGTGGCCGGATTTTCTTACTGCTTGCTCTTCTTACTTTAATCATTTCTGTGACTACCTCATGGCTGAACTCATTTAAATATCCCCAAGTTTATCTGAAAGGTAAAGTGTGTTCTTTATGCTACCCTTTTATACTTAAATGTATTTGTTTAGAACTTTGCACAGTAATAAACAGCTTACCATCATTTGGGATGTGTAAATTTCAAGGTAAGGGTGATCAATTATAACTTTAGTCATAATTATTTTTAATGGATTATAAATCCCAACATTTTTGTGAGAAATTTTACATTTTTCTTGTATATATTTTTTCTAAATTGGTATATTATAAACTTAAAATTTAATTGTATTTGTGCAATTTAACTGCTGTTTGGCACCTATCATTTATAAACTATTCTACAAATGTTAAATGAATCGACCATTAATCTCTAAAAGCTATTACTCTGTTTATTTTTCATTACATTTTAGAAGTTTTATTGAAGTATCTCTTTTGCATAGTTACGTGCTCTTAATTTTTAGAAATCGTGCTTATTCTTGATTTTATATTTCTTAATTTTTATTGAAATATTCTTCCAGTCTTTTTTATTTTACAAGTTTGGGGTTGTTTTATAACTAGATTTTTCCCCGTTTTCAGTATTCCAAATCACTTTCCTCTGTTGTATCTTTTCCTGTGAGCTGTTTTTTAATGGCTATAGGTTATTATGATTCCTTTTACCATTTTTTGCTACTCTTGATGAATATTTAGATTGCTCCTAAATAAATACAATTTCTTACTTTTTTTTAAAATTGTGATTTGGATGAAAGTTTACAGAGCAAATTCAGTTTCCATACAGCAGCTCACACATACTTTGTCTCATGACATTGACTACAATTTCCCACAATGCAGCAGTTCCCCACCCACTTCCTCTCCATGGTTACCTCTTCCCTGTGTCCTTCCCTCCCATGCACTCCTGCCCCCGAGCTGTCTCCCTGTGCATACACAGCTATTCTATTCTCCCATGATTGTTCTCTCCAAGGAATGTATTTACCTAATGGAAATGTTCAGCTCATATGCCTGTCTTTTGTTTGGCTGGAAGCCACAGGAGTGGGTTCAATTCCAGACCTGAAGGGCAGCTAGGGGCCATAGTCTCAGTGGTTCCATCAGGCTCTATCAGACCAGCAAACCTGCCCCCCCCCCTTTTTTAAATGATTTTGAGTTTTGTTCCACCTTGTTCTCCCATTGTATCCAGTATCTCCTACATAGATCCCCCTTCGAGTGGTTGACAGTGGTAGCCAGGTACCATCTACTTCTCCTAGTCTCATAGTCATATAGTATGAGGATCACATGGTGTACCGGTTGCTTGGACTAATTGTTTTCATGTATCTTTAATACAGTTTCTTGAAGAAGACTTTGTAGATGTAGCTCAAAGAGTAGACCATTCCTTAGGAGAACTGATTCATAGTATCCGTTCATGCATTAGAGCTTCATCATTGCGATTTATGTGTGCATGTGGTAAGAAAATATATATAACAAAACATTTGCTGTTGCAACATTTTTTACTTGCACAGTTCAGTGATTACATTAATCATACCATGCAATCATCACTAATACCGATTTCCAATATTCCCATCACCTTTAACAGAAACTCAGAGATGTTTTTTGTTCTGATAAGCAAAAATTTGTTAATTCTAGAAGCCTTTTTAAACCATATTGTAGTTAATTCCAGAAAAGAAGAATCCTAAAACTAAAGCCTATGTTTTCATATGCTATTAGAAAGATGCTTGCAGTAGTGAATTTGGTACATTGTGTTTTGTTTTGCTGTTTATTTATGTAAAAAAATAGAAAATAAAATGTACAGTGTTTAATTTATAGACATTTCAGATTAAATAAACATGAATAAAATCATAATCCTAAAACTTTATACCATTTGCCTCAAACATAAAGACACTGTGGATATTTGGGGGTCTCCTAATCACAGATTTTGGAATTTCTTCTTCTTTTTTTAATATTTGATCTCATACTTGAAATTACTCATATGGAACTCAGCTAGAGCATTGTAATTTATTATTAGAAAATTTGTGTTCCATATATTTTGATATAAGGGGGATATCTGCTGCATACATTAAACTCTTAGGAAAGGTATTCCATGTTTTACAAATAAGGGAAACATACACTCGTCACAGTTTCTGTACTTTAAGTTGTACATTTATGTTGTTGGAATGGAAGTCATTTTGTTGCATTTATGGGTTGATAATTTTGAGTCATAATCACCACTGAAGAATACAACTAATATATAATCATAATTAAGACTGTGTAGAGGTGTTGGAAGTGAAGAGAGTGAAGAAAACCAAGGGCCTTTGGAAACAATCAGCCCTAAGACATAATAGACCTTGAGACCAGAAGAATTAGATGGTGCCCAGCTACCAATGCCAACCACTTGGGAAGGGATCAAAACTGGAGATCCTGGATAGAGTGGGAGGAAAAACTTGGAAAATCCAAAAACACAGTAATGACCACAATCACTTGTCAGATGGAGACTGGTGGGACCCCCAAGACAATGGCCCTGGGATACATATCCTCCATGGAATAAAACTCACTCCCAAGTGCTGGCCCTCAGCCCAACAGTAAATAAGACTTACATGCAGAACACTCAACCCAGAGTGATGCACCCACCTACTCTATGGAGATACATCCCTTGTAGCAATAGGCCATGGAGCACCAGAGTGACAACAGTCAGATGGAGGAAAAGCTAGACAGGCAGGAGTACATAACCAAGAAGGGTACCGGGGGGTGGGTGTTACTGGGAAGGGAGAGGAAGAGAGTGGGTTAGGGTTGGTAACTGGGGAGTAAAACCAAATGTACGTGAAATGTTAAATGTAAAACAAATTCTGCTTTATAAATTTGCACCTAAAGCATGCACACACACACACACACACAAGACTGTGTATAGAGCCTCATTTAGTGAACTTTTTTCTTTGAGTGAATAAAAAAATCAGATTGCTCATAATACTTTATATCTTTCCTACTGGCACCAGATAATCAACATTTAAGTCTTCAGATTCATCCCAAACTTTAATTCCTTATTTTGTAAAAAGGTTTGCAAAACGAGGTGTATTAAAAGTTCAGAAGCAATCAGTGAGGATTATGCCCTATTAATGATTTATTTTAAAATTACATTTACTGAGAGTTTGGAAAAAGTCTCAAGATTCCTGAATCTCACTGGGCATACCACAAATCAGTTATGTGGTCCAAACTTGGCCTTCTGATTTCCTGTTGTGCTTTACTGCCCGACTCTTTGCTTTATAAACTTAGTACTTACGCCATGGAGATAGTTTTATTTATTTATTTATTTGTTACTTGGGTGAAATTTTACAGAGCAAATTCATTTTCCATACAACAGCTCACACACGTTTTGTTTCATGACATTGATTGTGATCCCCATAACGTAGCAGCTCTCTTCCTACTTTCTCCCTGTGTCCTTTCCTATGTATTCCTGCCCTCTGAGCTATCTCCCTGTGTAAATGCTGCCTTTCTGATCTCCCGTGATTGATGGTTCTAGGAAGTGTACCTACCTGGTTTAAATTGTTCACCTTGTAGGCCTGCCTGTCTGTTCTTTGGCTGGAAGCCATGGGAGTGTGTTCAATTCCAGGCCCAAAAGGTGACTAGGGGCCATAGTCTCAAAGGTTTCACCAGTCTCTTATCAGACCAGTAAGCCTGTTTTTTTTTTTTTTTTTAAAGATTTTGAATTTTTGATAGTTTTTAATGAATGGAATTCTCCTGATAAGGGGCCAGGCCATTCAAAGGATATATTTTCCTATAAGATGGATCATTCCTCAAGGGAATACACTTTCTAGTTTACTGTTAGTATTTGTGAGCCATTTTGGATGTTATTGTTATATTACAAAATTACTTGTTAAATATTGTTTTAAGAAAGCAGCCATGTACCTAAATGAAAATTTTATACCCAGAATCAGAAAGGTCTGTACAGCACAAATCCTTTCTCTTGATTTTTAGTTCAGTCGTTATAGGAGTTGCCAGGCACCCCACCTTTGCAGACTGTCCATGTTGCTTCTCCTGTCTTGTCCAAGGCTAACTGAACAGCCCTTCTGGTGGCCATAGTGTAATGTTCTGCATTTCATGTGTATCATGCGTGTCCATGCTGTGCCTGGAGCGGGTGGTGATGCCTTCTCGGGCCTATGGAAGGAAATCCATGAGAGTCTTTTTTTTTAAACTTTCATTGTGATTTGAGGGAAAGTGTATAGGGCAAATTTGTTTTCCATTCAACAAATCACACACAATTTGTTTTCTGATACTGATTGCAATGCCTACTTCTTCCCTGTGTTACCCTTTTCACCTGTCCTTTCCTGCCTTCTGAACTTTCTCTCTGAGCAAATGCTGCCCTTTTGATCTTGAATAGTTGATTGTTCTGAAGAATGCTTACCTCCATGGTGTTATTGTCCAACTTATAGGCCTTTTATTTGGCTGAAAGTTGAGCCACAAAGGTTAGTTCAGTTTCATCCTTGAAGAGTGACTATGGGCTATTCCAAAAACCAGACTTACTACCGTCAAGTCCATTGCAACTCATAGCAACCCCACCTTGGCTTCCTGAGGAGGTATATTTATGGAAGTAGATTGCCCAGTCTTCCTTCTGAGGAGTGGCTAGAGGGTTTGAACTGCCAGCCTTCTGGCAGCAGTCAGATGCCTTAGGCACTATCCCTCCATAGCTCCTACTGTGGGGTATAGTCTCATCGAACCAGTAAGCCTGGTCTTTTTAATGATTTTGAGTTTTGTTCCACATTTTTCTGCCACTCTATCCAGGACCTTCTATTGTGTTCGCTTTCAGAGTGGTCAGCAGTGGTAGCTGGGTGCCATCTAGTTTTCAGAGTCGTGGAGGCTGAGGTTTGCATGGTCCATTAGTCCTTGGGACCGTTACCTCTGTCTTTGATTTCCTTAACTCTTCTTTGCTCTGGAAGGGTAGAGACCAATAGCATCTTAGATGGCACTTTAGATGGCCACTCACAAGCTTTTGAGACCTCACCAAAGGAGGATGTAGAACATTGTCTTTGTGGATTATGTTGTTCCAATTAAACTTGATGTCCCCCTTGTCTGTGGTCCTGAATCCCCAGGCCCAGTGACTCATTCTCTCAAGGTGTTTGGTTGTGGCTAAGAAGTTTTCATAACTTTGCCCTGTTTGCTTTACTATATACATGAATATATTTGCAGCATGTACAAATATGCATGTGGAAATATCATTAGAGTCATTCTTAAAGCCTCCTTGCCCAAACTATTACACACAATATTAACATACATTAGAGAATCTTTGTTTCAGAATAGAGATTTTGTTGCAGATTTTACTTTTGGATTTATTTCATCTAGCTGCATGTATTGTATGTTGTGTTATTTGAAAAATAGAATCTGTTTTAATAAGGCTTCAGGTCCCTTTCAAAATAGTAGGATCTACAGACTATTGCTAGAGAAAACAGCATTCCATTTATTGACTTAGGAATTAAAAAGCACTTTTATGTATTAATGTCTTAGATGGAGAAGAGGAAGAGAATGAGAAAAGACAAAAAGTTGTGAGGAGAAAACAACAAGAGGTGCAGTGTGAAAAGGTAAAGCATGCTTTCTAGAGACTGTATACAGAGAAAACTCAAAAATATCTGGGGCACTTAAAATTCAGGTCTGTTGCTTTCTGTTTGTGCCAAGATTTTTATTATAGTTTTTAAATTGAGGTAAATTTCATTTAACATAAAATTAACCATTTTAAGGTGTACAAATCAGTGGCCTTTAGTATGTTCATAATGTTATGCATCTACCACCTTTATCTAATTCCAAAATATTTTCATCACTCCCAAGCCTATTCCGTGGCAACCACCAATCTGCTTTCTGTTTCTATGGATGTCTCTATTCTGGATATTTCATATAAATGGAATCATACAATGTGTGAACTTCTGTGTCTGGCTTCTTTCCCTTAGCATGTTTTTGAAGTTCATCTATGTTGTGGCATGTATCAGTACTTTGTTATTTTTTATAGCTAGGTAATATTTCATTGTATGGCTATACCCCAATTTGTTTATCTATTCATCCATTGATGGACACTTGAGTTGTTTGATTATTGTGAGTAGTGCTGCTATGAACATTCCTGTCCAGATTTGTTTGAGTACCTGTTTTCAATTCTCTGGGACTTGGTTGGGTCATACAGTAATTCTACATTTAACTTTTTGAGGACCTGCCAAATTGTTTTCCACAGTGGCTGCACCATTTTACATTCCCATCAGCAGTGGATGAGGGTTCCAATTTTTCAACATCCTTACCCACCCTTATTTTTTCTTTATTTATACCATCCTTCCATAATGATACTGCTTGGAAACCCAAGGAGGGGTCACTATGAGTTCGGTCCGACTCGAGGGCACATAACAACAACAACAACAAATGGTATCTCATTGTGGTTTTGATTTGCATTTCTCTGTTGACTAATGAAGGAGTGCTGGTGGCATAGTGCCTAAGGGATTTGACTGCTAACCAGAGGGCTGGTAGTTCAAACCCATCAGCCACTCCTTGGAAGGAAGATTGGACAATCTAGTTCCATAGAGAAACCCAAGGAGGCATTGATGTGAGTCAGAGAAAGAAGTTGAGAGCAGTGAGTTTGGTTTTTTGGTTTTTAGTGTCTAATGATGTTGAACATCTATTTATGTGATTATTGGCTATTTATATATCTTCTTTGGAGAAATGTTTTTGTGTTGTAGGAATTCTTTATATATTCTGGATATTAAACCCTTATTAGATTTATGATTTGCAAATATTTTCTTCTGTACTGTGTGTTGTCTTTCACTTTCTTGTTAATACTCTATGATGAACAAAAATTTTTAATTTTGATGAAGTCCAATTTATCTACCGTTTGTTGCTTGTGCTTTTGGTATTTTATCTGAAAATTTGTTGCCAAATCCAAAGTCATGAAGGTTTATCCCTATGTTTTCTTTTAAGAGTTTTTTGGTTTTGGTGCTTACATTTAGGTCATTGATTTTTTTTTTTTCAGTTCATTTTAACATATGATGTGAGGTAGGGGTCCAGCTTCATTCTTTTGCATGTGGACATCTACTTCTCCCAGCATCAGTTGGAGTGGAGGGTAGGGTGGGACTTAAAGGGAGCCAGCAAAGTAACAAGTAGGAGGAAGAAACTGAGAAGTCTTACCTTTCAGTACACACATTTTCTCTTCCTCTATTTTTGTTTTGTACTCCTGCCTTCCACTAGCCCTAGGATCTGTGAATCTGAAGCTTCCCTGGTTCATTCATTTTCCCAGAGAATAAACCTTCCATACGTGGCTTTATAGAGTAGGATAGTGGGTCTGGGGATTTAATATCTCTTTTATTGTCTTTCCTTTTTTCTAAAAAACAAACAAACAACACCCAAACTCTCCGCCATCAAGTTGATTTTGACTCATAGTGACCCCTCCTTAGGTTTTCCAGGTGCCAAGAATTAGAGTAATAATAACCATTGATTCACTGCAGACTCCTGACTGGTCCGTGCATGGCCTGTCTCCCCTTCTCAGCTTCCATCCTCTGTTTTCAGCCCTGTGCCTCACTCCATCTCCTGGCCCTGGCGTATGAGCTGTTACAGGGTCGGTGTAATACACTGGCTGGCTTGTTACTGTTATCCTCCTTTGCAAGCACTTAGGTTTCAGCCTTTTCGATTCTGTTGTATCAGTTATCATCTTCCATCTGTGTTCAAATATAGTGGTTTGGGGGTTAGTGTTGCTTTGTTTCATCAGTGATAGAATTTGAATTTCTATTTTTGCTCCCCTGGTTGATTTGGGATGATTTTCAAGAAGAGAAAGAGAGAACTGGTTTTATTTTGTTATTTCAAACCCAGATATCCCAATCCATGTGTTTTAATTCCAACTACTATTTTTCCTGCTTTACCATGATCAGACTGTACAATTAACATTCCTCTAAACAAGTTCATGCCTTCTAGGATCTGACAATATGAGGGGGCATAATGCCTTGAACAAAGTGCTGAGACTCAAAGCTCCTACAAGTCAGGAACCATGTCCTATTCATCTTTGTATCCCTGGACCCCAATAAGTTTTTGTTGCAGTGAAAACCTTTTAAAGGATATATAGCCAGCCAGCCATACAAATATAAGTATAGAACATTTGTGTTTCATTACTTACAAACACAAACTTTAATAGAGGGAAGCAAAAGTTGAAGGTATTGTCTTTTATGTTGTCTTTTATTGTGAAAACACAATTTTATATGCAGTCCTTATTTAAAACTTCACAGGCAGAGTACATATTGAGGAACATTAACTTGTGTACTAATAACACTTAATTAATTTTTCTCAACAGGCCAACAGATACATAGAGAATGTTTTAAAACCTCACCAGGAAATGAAATTGAAAAAACTGGAAGAGCGCTTTTATCAAATGATGGGTGAAACCTGGAAGTTAAGCAATGGTCACAAACTTGGGGTTAGAAAATATTCTCATTTTATATTTTGAATTCTTCTGGTTCTTGTGTTTCTTTTTATATTTATTGGTTTTTCTGTTAAAATTATGTTAAACTGTTAGTACAATATGATTTTTAGAAATCTTTTATTGATAATGATTGTGTATTGATTTTTACTCAGCAGTTTTGTGTGTCGAGTGTTTTTGGTGCCTAAAGAGCATATAACTTGGATCCTTGAAAAACTCTAATGTATGATAGTCTTTGAGAAAACTGCTGAATAAATACGATTGTTTTCTTGTATGAAGGAATCCACAACTTCTCTCAAGTTGTCTTGAAGGTGTTTTAAGCTCACATTATATTAACTGTTTTGCTCTATCTTTTAAAAGCTGCATTAACTTTTGGCTCTTTTTACTTTGGTATTGAGTATGAATTTTGTCATTTGCTAATGGAAGTTTACAATTTTCCATTTTGTTTTTACAGCAAAAAAGATGCTTATAAAGGTACAAAGTTTTAGAGTACATGTCCACAGATTATCTGTGTAAGACCATTTCTGTCCCAAAGACTTTTCTTTTTGTCTTTTTTGCTTACACTATTCCTTTCACCATCTTGTAAAACAAATGATTCACAAGAGACAAACAGGACGCTTGTAGTCAATCAGTATCCATTTTCATCCATTTCATAATGATAAATGTGTCATAAAATAACCAAAGGTAGGTAATAAAATTAATATGAAAAATGGACATCATAAATTGCAACTGTCCTGTGTCATCTTCCTTCCTCTGGGTTGAGTTTTTCTGTTCACTTTTTTTTTTAAATTTCATTGTGTTGTTTTCCATTCACTTTTGTGATACCAGGTATTGATAGCTTGATTTTAGCCTCATGTATCTAGTTCTGTAAAGGTCACAGTGTGAATTGCTCATTCTTTGCCTTGCTTTTAGGCTAGATCTTCATGATAGTAATAGCATATATATTAACCTTAGTAGTAGAACAACAAAATATCAGAGACTGAGTAGTTGTTGTTGTTATGTACCATCGAGTTGGACCCGACTTATAGCAACCCCTCCTTGGCTTTCTGAGGCAGTATCACTATGGGAGTAGATTGCTTAACCTTCCTTCCGAGGAGTGGCTAGTGGGTTTGAACTGCCAGCCTTCTGGTTAGCAGTCAAATGCCTTAGGCACTATGCTACCAGAGCTCCCAAGACAGAGTAGACTACTGGTCTTTTTATGACCTAAGTCTCTTGGAACTATCAAAGAACAAGAGAATCAGAATGTTAGAGCTAGAAGAAAGTTTGTCAGTTAGTCCAAGTCCACAGTTTGCAGTGAGGCAGCCTCTTCTTAGATACTACTTGCAACAGAATCTCTTAAGATAAAGTAATGGATGGAGAATTGAAATCCTACCAAAATTGTGAGCATTTTTGTCTGATTGTTAGAGAGAACTTTTTCTTAGAAGGTTAGCAAATATGGAAGGAAGGAGTTATTGAACTATTAAGTATATATTTCAGAATTTCATACTTAAGTGAATTATTTTGCTAAGGAAAAAGTTTAATAGATAATAAAAAGTAATCTTCATGATTTTTGGAATAAATTCTTTGCCTCCTAAAGTGATGAATTCAAATGAAAGATTATAGTTTGAGAACGAAAATATGTTTATATATATAACAAGATAGTGGGGTCCTATTCAGCAACAGAAATTTTGTATGATCACATACATAGACATTTTTTTTTTCCAACATATATGTTCTATTTTCAAAGTCTTTTAAGGCATAATCACTTGTACTGCCCTATTCTGTTTTCTTTACTGAAAGGAGAAAAGGGTATCATGCAGGTTTTCCTCTTCTTCTATTGAACTGAGAAACTTAGGGGTCACAAATTCAGAGGGCCCAGTCAGCCTTTTATCCATCAGAGGGAACCCCAGAACTGGGTAATTTTAGTTTCTATAAAAGCTTGAGGCCAAGGCTTTCTTGTCTAAGGAGATATGCTTTAATATTCTGGGTGTAAGTAATGACCCACTGATATTTTTATACTGAAATGCCTTCAGGATCAAAGAAATAACCACTGTGAATAGAATAAAGTTGATAAGAGAATATTGCTTTAAATTGTCTGTTTTCTTTGACCAGAGTGATGAAGATTTTGTGCTTGAAAATGCAAGTCAGACTTCTCTTGAAACTTCAAGCAGAGAAGCAGCAAAGAGAAGGAAATTGCCAAAGCCTGTCACTGGAGTTTCCTCACCCGCTGAACAGCCCCCACAGAAGAAGGTTCATTACTTAATGCTTACTCACGGAATTGTATCAATGTGCTGTGGGAATATTCTTCTCTGGGCGAGGTGGTATATTGGGTGAAAATTAGAACTGTTTTTTAATCCAGAGGGAGTCTTCTCACTGCCTTACATAGTGACTAATTTCATTATAAATCACTTTTCTGTTCAATATTACTACTGATGTTCTGAATCAAACTTAGAGGAAGCTATAGAGATAAGGAGCTATGGTGGTGTAGTGCCTAAGGCATTTGACTGGTAACTAGAAGTTTGGGGGTTTAAACCCACTAGCCACTCTGTAGAAGGAAGATGGGGGTTTGAAAAAAATGAAAAGGGTCCCTGGAGGTGAGATGGTTGATAACCAGTGTTTTAATGAGAAGTATCAGCCTGAACAGGAGCTCTGGTGGTGTAATGCCTAAGGCACTTGACTGCTAACCAGCACCCAGCAGCCACTCCTCAGAAGGAAGGTTGGACAATCTACTTCCGTAGCGATACCGCCTCGGAAACCCAAGGAGGGGTCACTATGAATCGGGTCTGACTCAATAGCACATAATAACAACATCAGCCTGAACATTGTTACCTAATAGATTAACAGAAGTAGGGAAACATAAATAAATGTTGAAAATAACTGGAGTGAATGGTTGCCACCTACAGGACTTTTACACATATAATGTTCACATAACAAGTTTTTACATACCATGCAACCCCTGGGTGTTAGTTTCATAAATGCACTATACCAATGTATTTTTTTACATGTTGATGAATTCAATTTCAATTTTTTGTTTTTTGTGTGCAAAAGATTTAACATTAAGTCTTCTCATCTTGGTATCTGTTGATATGGAGGTTTGGTTTCCAGCAGCAGACCCTCACCAGCCTACTCCTGAGTTTCTAAAGCAGCCTCTGTCCTGGCAGGATTCCTTCCTTGCTTTGCAAACTGCTTTCTCCAGTGCAGGAAGAAATCATTTTTTCTGCCCTGAAAGCAGTCCTCACCAGGGCACCTAGCCCCAGCCCAGAAGGTATATGGGCCTGTGCATCCCAGGCCAGAGAGGCCACTCAAGTGGGTGAGGCTGGCCTGCCATAGCCATGTGCATTGTCCTACTGTCCTGCTAGCCAGCTGCCGTGTTTGGGCCTTTTGAATCTCCTGTCTGCATGGACACCATAGGGTGTGCATGAGAGCTGTGGGCTTTGTGGGTAGGTTGGTGCCTGCACCAACAGTCCTGCCGCCAGGATCCCTGGCATTAAGGGATATAGATTTGTGCGAGCAACAGCCCCTGCCACCATGGGACCAGCAACCTGTGCTTGGGCTATGGCAGCCCTGCATTTTTCTCTGGCATTGTGTACCTTGGTGCAGACCAGCTATAAGGAATTCCAGGGCTCTCAGGCCTGGGTGCAAATAGCTGCAGAGCAGACACACAGTTTTGACTATTTATTTTCCAGTTACTGAGGTACTGCCAAACTCAATCCATGACTTCTTGACCATGGCTTGTACCTTTACTATACAAATGTAATCAAAGGTAACATTTTCAGACTGTTGAATGAGGATGAACGAGGCCAAAACTCACTTCTAGAAATGTAATGATGTGCATGGTATATGCATAGGTGCCTATTCCAGAACTTTATTGCTAAATTTTGTCATTTCTGTGAGTTGTATGTGTGAGCACATTATTTACCTGGGTGTACTATTTGTGAAAAATATGGTAGTCTTCCCTAGAAGGCCCAGTGAGGACAGTTATGCACTTGTGTTAAAATATACATATGTACAAACCTTAATAATTTTGGGATGTTACTGAATGTAACTTGTGTTAACATTTAGCCTTTGTTGCTTTTAATAGTACATATGTGTATGGTGTCTGTGAACTTCATAAAAGCAAAATTCTTTAAATGTGTGCAGATTGGTATTGTTATCCCAAATCTCATTCTTATGTTACTAACACAAGGTTGCTTACCCACAACATTAGTTTAGCCCTCACTGTAATTCTATAGGTGTATATGAAAAGAGAAAGAGTTTTAGTAAGTTTACACATGTCAAAACTCTATATTGAAAGGGCCTCTTCCTATTATTTTTTTTCTGTTTGACAATGTTGACATTCCTGTTACTAATACTTCCTTTTCTTTAGGTTCTTGAATTACCTGAAGAACCTCCTGAAACAGCTGAAGAAGTAAGCTTTGTTTTCTTAAAAGTATTTCTTCTGTTTAACAACAAGTAAATACATCTTACCTGATGTTGAGTTTGGAGACCCTGGGTGGCAAAACTGTTAAGCGCCTGATGGGTAACCGAAAAGTTGGCAGTTCGAACCCACTCCGAGGTGAATTGAAAGACCTGTTGATCTGCTTCTGAAAGGTCACTGCCTCCTTGAAAACCCTATGGGACAGTTCCACTGAGGTGCTCTATCCCAGAACTTTATTCCATGAGTTGGAATTGACTTGATGTCAACTAACAGTAACAGTGAAGTTGGGTTTAGAAAATAAAGATGGCATAAGTACTTGTGTGACTCCACTGAAGTTAGGTCTTATTTTAAATATGGTATATTAGGAAACTCCTCAGTTTGGGTCCTATTTTGGAAGCTGCTTTCTGCTGAGTTTGGTTTTTAGAGCTCTCCCACAGTATCAGGTAGAGATAGGGTATGAGGGCTTTTCTAAAATTTCAAGTCAGCAAATGAAGTTACTTACACAGAATCAAAATCAGTAGATGACTTCAAATTGTAGTTCTCTTCTTAAAACAGAAAATAAAGAATGCAGCTATGTTGTAGATATTTTAATTTTAGAGATGGTTGCTGTTTGGGGGCTGGGGTGGGACTGAACAAACTCTGCACTGAACTAGCTGCCTTCTTCCCAACTGCTTAGTTTGGGCTGCCCAGTAGAGTTAGAAGGTGCTTTGGTGGCGTAGTGCCTAAGGCATCTGACTGCTAACCTGCAGGTTGGCAGTTCAACACACCACTCTGTGGAAGGAAGACTGGGCAGTCTACTTCCATAAAGATTTACCACCTCGGAAACCCAAAGTGGGTCGCTATGAGTTGGAATCAACTCGATGGCAGTGAGTTTTTTTTTCCAGTATAGTTAGACCCATGCCACTAATGGATGAGAACATGTAAGTCATTTAGGCAGTGAATGCAGAACCAAAGCCATTGTGACTTTCCATTTCTTGGCACTCAACAACTATTACACTCTCTTTGAAAACCATTTTTCATGCAGCCATAAAAACAATAGAGAGTGTCTCATTTTTGTCAACACATTTGCAACATTTCATTTTAGTACTGTAGAAGTCAGAGGAAAACTCAAAACCATACAGAAATAAGGACAATGAAATGTGCAATTCAGATACTGAACCCCTAGGAGAAGAACAATGGCTTTTTAAAGACTTTTAATTTATCCCTTGCTGTATGTGACAAATTTATGCCTCTGATATGTCTGTCCTAACTCTTCTGTATCCTCACTTCTCTTCAAGCTCTGGTATCCATGACACTCATTTTTATAATACAGGAGTAATGAAATATAGCTCAGGTTTGACAGGGAATATTCTTTATGAACTTATCCTGCCTTTGAGGAACATGACATTATTTCTTCAGAGCAGCACTTTGTAACCCAGGGTCCATGGATGATACACCTCAAGTGGTCAGTGCATCCCTTGAAATTGTACCTTTTTATACTTAACATATGTTTTTCTAGGGAGAAGGGCAGTGCTTTTCTTCAGATTCTTAGGTCTGTGACCCCAAAAAAGTTAAGAAATAGCTATAACATAGAGCCTAGTCCTGTTCATAGCAGTCAGTGTTGCTCTCCTCTTTATATAGTTACAGTTATTCCATAGGATCCTTGGAGCAGTGGTTAAACCCTTAGCTCCCAACTAAAAGGTCAGCAGTTCAAACTCACCAGCTGCTCTGTAGGAGAAGGATGTGGCAGTTTCCATAAAGATTATAGCCTTGGAAACCCTATGGAGGCAGTTTTGCTTTGTCCTATAGGAGCTCTGGTGGCACGGTGGTTAAGGCATTCGGTTGCTGCTAACCAAAAGGTCAGTGGTTTGAACCCACCAGCTGTTCTGTGGGAGACAGATGAGGCAGTCTGCTTCCATAAAGATTTACAGCCTTGGAAACCTTTATCGGCAATTCCACGCCATTCTAGAGGGCTGCTGTCAGAATCGACTGGAAGGTAGTGGGTTTGGGTTTGTACAGGGTCATTATGAGTTGGAATGACTAAATAGCAATGGATTTTTTTCTCTTTTTAAGTTATTCCACTTCATTTCTTTTCTACTTTTTTCCAGTTCTTGCTAGAGGTTATTTTTATACTAATAAAGTACAAAGCAGAGTGAACTAACAAACAAACAAAACAATCTTATCCCTTTTCATTTGAAACTAAAGGCACAGGCAGGAAGAGTTTCAGATTTTATATATACATAGTACATTATATAGATGATATTGGTGTTGTTGTTAGGTGCCATCAAGTCAGCTCCAACTCACAGCGACCCTATGTACAATAGAACAAAACACTGCCTGGTCCTGTGCCAGCCTAACAATTCTTGCTATACCTGATCCCATCGTTGCAGCCACTGTGTCAGTCCATCTCGTTGAGGGCCTTCCCCTTTTTCGTTGATCCTCCATTTTACCAAGCATTATATCCTTCTCCAGGGAATGGTCCCTCTGACAACATGACCAAAGTAGGTCAGACAAAATCTAGCCATTCTTGCTTCCAAGGACCATTCCGGCTGCATTTCTGCCAGGACAGATTTGTTAGTTCTTTTGGCAGTCCGTGGTACTTTTAGTATTCTTCACCAACACCACAACTCAAAAGCATCACCTCTTCTTCTTAGGTCTTCTTATGTCTTCCTTACTCACTATCCAGCTCTCACATGCATATGAGGTGACTGAAAATAAAATGGCTTGGGTTAGACACACCTTAGTCTTCAAGGAGACATCTTTGCCCTTCATCACCTGAAAGAGGCCTTTTACAGCAGATTTTCCCAGTGCAATACATCATCTGATGTCTTGACTGCTGCTTCCATTGGCGTTGATGTAGAACCAAGTAATATGAAATCTTTGACAACTTCAATCTTTTCTCCCTTTATCACGATGCTGCTTATTGGTCCAGTTGTGAGGATTTTTGTTTTCTTTATGTTGAGTTGTAATCTATACTGCAGACTGTAGTCTTTAATCTTCATCAAAAATTGCTTCAAGTAGTCATCCTCACTTTCAGCAAGCACAGTTGTGTTGTCTGTGCATTGCAGGTTGTTAACGATTCTTCCTCCAGTCTTGATGCCATGTTCTTCTTCATATAGTCCAGGTTCTTGGATTATTTGCTTGGCAAACAGATTGAATAAGTTTGGTGAAAGGATACAACCCTTCTTGATTTTAAACCATGCAGTGTTCCCTTGTTCTGTTTGAACAGTTGCCTCCTGGTCTATGTACAGGTTCCTCATGAATACAATTAAGTGTTCTGGAATTCCCATTCTTCTCAATATTATCCATAATTTGTTATGATCCAAACAATAGAATGCTTTTGCACAGTCAATAAAACACAAGTAAACATCTTTCTGGCATTCTTTGCTTTGAGCCAAGATCCATCTGACATTAGCAATGATATCCCTTGTTCCATGTCCTCTTCTGAATCCAGCTTACATTTCTGGAAGTTCTCTGTCAATATACTGCTGCAACCATTTTTGAATTATCTTCAGTAAGATTTTACTTGCGTGTGGGAGCTCTGGTGGCATAGCGCCTAAGGCATTTGACTACTAACCAAAAGGCTGCTGGTTCAAACCCACCAGCCACTCCTGGGGCGATCTACTTCCATAGAGATACTGCCTCGGAAATCCAAAAAGGGGTTCCTACGAGTTGGAACCGATTCAATAGCAGTGAGGTTTTTTTTTTTTTTTTAATATTAATGATATTGTTTGATAATTCCACTTAGAATGGGTACAAATATGGATCTCTTCCAGTCAGTTGGCCAGGTAGCTGTCTTCCAAATTTCTTGATATAGAGAAGTGAGTGCCTCCAGCACAGCTTCCTTTTGTTGAAACATCTCAATGGGTATTCCGTCAATTCCTGGAGCCTTGTTTTTTGCCAATTTCTTCATTGTTGTTATGTGCTGTCGAGTCGGACCCGACTCATAGCGACCCCTCCTTGGGTTGCTGAGGCAGTATCACTATGGAAGTAGATTGCCCAACCTTCCTTCCAAGGAGTGGCTGGTGGGTTTGAACTGCCAGCCTTCTGGTTAGCAGTCAAGTGTCTTAGGCACTGTGCTACCAGTTGTTGTTGTTGTTAGGTGCCGTCGAGTCATTTCCGACTCATAGTGACCCCATGCACAGCAGAACAAAACACTGCCTGATCTCACGCCAGCTCCATGATCGCTGCTATACTTGAGCCCATCATCGCAGCCACCATGTCAATCCATCTTGTTGAAGGCCTCCCCCTCTTTTGTCGACCTCCACCCTACCAAGTATGACATCCTTCTCCAGGGAATGGTCATGACCAAATAGGTGAGACAAAGTCTTGTCAAGCTGCTCTTTGAAATCTTCTATTCAGCTCTTTTACCTTGTCATTTCTTCCATTTCTTTAGCTACTGTCCTCTCAAGGGCAAGTTTCAGAGTCTCTTCTGACATCCATTATAGTGTTTTCTTCCTTTTCTGTCTTTTTAATGACCTTTCTCTTTCTTCATGGATGATGTTCTTGATGTCATCCCACAGTTCCTCTGGTTTTTGGTCACTGGTGTTCAATACATCAAATCTATTGTTTAAATGGTCTCTAAATTCAGGAGGGATATAATCAATGTCATATTTTGGCTCTCGTGGACTTTCTTTTAATTGTCTTCACTTCAACCTGAACCTTACATATGAGCAGTTGATGGTCTGTTCCACAGTCAGCTTCTGGCCTTGCTCTGACTGAAGATACTGCACTTTTCCATTGCCTTTCTACAGATGTAGTTGATCTAATTCCTGTGTTCTCCATCTGGTGAAGTCCATGTGTATAGCCACCATCTGTGTTCTTGAAAAAGTATTTGGAATGAATAAGTCAGTAGTCTTGCAAAATTCTATCAGGTGATCTCCAGCATTATTTCTATCACCAAAGTCCTATTTTCTAACTACCAGTCATTCTTCTTTGTTTCTAACTTTTGCATTCCAATCACCAGTGATAATCAACACATCTTGATTGCATGTTTGGTCAATTTTAGACTG